TTAGACAGCAGAGAATTACATATTTATTTATTTCACTCATATTTCATTTTTGAAACACGTTTCATATAACAAACTTTTAGGTCTAACAGATGGTAGCTCATTGTCTAGTTTGTTGTGACCTGCCAGGGAAGCTTATACATTGTTTAAATGCCTAAAAGTTTCCAAAAATTTTACTTCAAAAAATGTTTTTGAAATTTAGGAAAGATTCACTTATTATGAATTTATTATGATTATGCAAGGACAGTAAGTTTGTTTTAGATATGTTAATTATCGAGAATTTAAATTACGCTGAGTATACATTTATTAAGTAAATTGTATTTTTCATTAGACCTGAAATGGGGTGCAAAAGTTCCTGAAATATTGTGTATCATAAATGAAATATGATATGAAATAAAGTAATTATATAATTGTCTGCTGTCTAAAAAATTTTGAAGGGACTGGTTCTTAAGAGAGGTACTAATTACAAAAAGACTATAAATTGCATAGAACTGAATGAATGTATTGAGCGGTGTGATGCTAGCTGCTGAAAATTGTTCCGAGAACAAAAAAAATGAAAAATTAAAAACTTCACTCGCCACTCTGCAAGAACATATGTTAAAGTTGTGATAATGAATCTTTGGTCATGTATAGCTACTTAATATTTTATTATGTTTGTAATGATTGTATTTTATTAAACTTGCAACACTTTGTTTTAATAAACAACATTACAAATTTCCAGATAAAAATTCGATATTCATACAACTACTTTACATAATCTTTTTTTTTTTTTTACTGGGAATTTGTATTGGAGGCCACAAAACATTCGAGGATTTGGGAAGGTCAGATTTGTCAACACCCTATGTATATTAAATGACTTGTTAACTCTAATGAAATAACCAAATTGATAAAAGGTATTCAAAGTTTTAAGTAGCAATATTACATGATACCTGTATTGTGAGAAAATAATGCTGTTTTGTTGAATAAAAATTTGTTATTTTTCAAATTGATTCATTGTAAGTGGTCCAACACTGGTTGCTTGACCATCGCAGAAAACCTTCATGTTTTGATTCTTCAGCAACATTTTAAATTTTTGTTTCAAACAGCATGCCATTTTTGTGTCTGTGTACATTTACAATTATCTTTAATTGCTCAGCAGTGCATTGTTTCATAATTTAAAAGCAAAGTATATTGGATTCACTATACTCTGGCCTAATTATCTATTGTATGTATATACCTAATATGATTTATTTGGATAATATTTGCAATTATTGAATGTAAGTGAACAAAGTTGGATTATTAGTTTCTTTAATAATAGAGTATTCTCTAAGAAGAAATAGACTTGGCGTAAAACATCAATGGTATGTAGCTTACTATTTAGAAATTAAATTTGAATTTTTCCACACTTTCAACTGCATCTCTCTTCAGGGAGATCAGATAAAAATATGAAGTGCCTGCTATGATGCGAAACTTCTGTATAAATTCCTACTTAGAGATTCACGGTCAATGAATTACACAAGAAAATTCTTTATTTCTACAGGGAAGATGAGTGAGAAGATGAAAGATTACATAAAAAACTTTTTTATGTATAATTTTGAGTATTACTTTAACATATACAAGGTTATAACATAACTAACAGAATTATGCCCCATGACTTTCTTCCCACTTCATGAGCACTGCTACAACCTGGAGTGTTTGGGGTGCAATTGCCCCCATTGCTAGTCTCCTTACTTAGTGTTAGTTTTGTCCCGTGTGCTCGACTGCTGGGCCCTGCTCCGTGTCACATGACATGCCCAGCAAGAAACCCAGGTACATTGAGAATTGCATTTCACTGAAGCACCATCGAGTCGGGAGTTCAAAGAATGTGATGATCATAGAAACCTCCTCCATTAAAAAAAAACACTAATGTGCCAACTTCCATGGAGATCAATCATATGGTGAGAGTTTATTGATCCCAAATGTAACAAACATCCATTTTTAGGTAGAAAGATTAAATGTGAGTTCTTGACATCAGAACCTAAATGACTAATATAAAAATTGTTAGAGAAGATAAGTAATGAACAAAAAGTCATCAAAAAATAAAAATTATTTTTAATGAAATAAAGATGCATAAAATAATTTATATAATAATAATTAAATGAATAACAACAGATAATAATTTAGATTTATAAAATGAATAAATAATTAAAAATTTATTGAATTTTTAATTATTTATTCATTTCATTATTTATTTTTCTTACAATTTTAAATTATCATTAATATGAAATTGATAAAAACCAGAATTTATTTTAATAAAGCATAGTATTCATTAATTTGTAAAGTGAAAAACATTACATTTTTTTTATAATATTCATGTTTTATGAACCATATGTTTTATAAACCATGTTTTTATGGAATATAATGGAATGAACAGATTTGTAATCTACCACAAATTTCTGCTAATTTTATGAAAATAGTCTTGTGCAAGATTTCATATTTATATTCTTCCTCCTTTTCTGACACTGTACTCAATAAACATACTTCATTGAGTCATATTCCAGTAATTGTATAAATAATATTTTATCAGGTTTTTGCCCTAGTAAAGATAGTCTCCAAGTGTCCACCTACCAAGAGTGCATGATCCTGAACTAGAAATATCGTCTTAGAATTAATTTGAGATATGTTCATTTCAAAAAAGTATAAAGTATACTTATGATATATTTTGTATAAAAGAGGTTAGAAGTTTAAAGTTTGGAGGGGAAAGCAGGCTTAGATATTATGTCAGTAGTTGTAAGAAGTGTGCCAAAGGTAGTGCAAAATTTAACTCCAGACCTATCACTTATGAGAATATCTGAGGCCTTGTATTCAACTGATCGATGGCAAAGGATTAACATGGTTTTAGATAAGAAATACAGCAATCTTGGCATCTGAGGAATACAGTGCAAAACATCTGTATAATGGAAAAAATGTTCAATAATGTGAATTTAAATCCAGAACATGAACATGATAAATTGATGTATTTGTATATTTATTAGTAATCTTTTATAAATAATTTGTATCTTGTCCGGTTCAAGTGCTGATGTCAAAGACATCTAACTTTCATTTAGGTGTAAGTGTGTATTAATTAAAGTAGTATTATTGATTTTTTTCCATTGTAGGTTTCTTAGTATAAAATAGTTTGAAAGGAATGAGTTAACTTCTTGCCCTATTTATCCCCATGTGAAAATCAAACATTTTTGTGTAAATTTTACAATTATTTTTTTGCCAATTTTGTGTTGAATCTCAAAACTGAAATTGTACTGAAGTTTGGTACCAAATTGATGTTTTATATGTGCAATTTTCAGATTTTTATCAGGTCCCCCATCAGTGCTATGTAGTTAAAAATTTGGAAAATATGTGTACTTTTTAACACTTTTGAGTTCAGGCCCTTGATGACAGATTATAGTGTAGCCAGAAAACCCAGGGTGTTTAGTGGTATCTTAAGCCGCGTCGGTAGTTATTTTTGTGAAACAAATGCATTAACCCTTACTATTTTTAGAAAGTCTGGATTTTTGTTAATTGAAAACAAATGAAAAATAAGAAAAAGTGCCAATTTTTAAATTTTATTGACATATTTAAATATATTACAAAAATACTGCATAAAAATTCTACAACAATATATATTTTTCAGAATCAGAATTTTCTCATATTTCATCCAAAGCTTTTTTCTGTATCTAATTTCTGAATGATTTTTCAAAAAGTCAGTATTTTGTAGTGGGCTCAAGGTTCTAAACTCAAAACACTTAGTACTGAACTCCTACCACTGCAAACTACTGCAAAAAGCAAATGACAAGACCGGCTCTCATTTTGCAAAATAGTCTTAAATTGCCTAACAAATGGCAACACCATGCAGCCACAAAAAAATTGAGATATATCCTCAGATCCTCCAGAATCAGTGTGTAGTCAGGAACATGCGTAGAAAGAGAAGAAAACTTTTTCACCAGCTATGCTTAGGTTTGACTCGTGAGCATGAAGCAATGCCCAAGTGTAGGTCTGGCTTGGGCTTCAATGTGTTACGTGATAAGCTACATAGCATTGATATTTTTAATAAAATAAATAGTTATGTATACAAGCCAACAAAAAATGAATGCTGCGAGTCAATTCCTTCTTTTAGTAATTACTCTCTGGAAATAGAACCTTGTTCATTTGTGTTTGATAATTTTGGTTGAAAATTTTACCCAAATAATGTTAGGTAGGTAAGTAAAATATTGTAATCCATTCTATATTTAGTTTTGTTTTGTTTTTTAGAGGGCTGTGTTTTATGTAAAAAAGGAATTGTACATGTAATATTTTAGGTTTTAGTATTATATAAAGTCATATTCAAAATTGGATTGAATATGATGTTTTAAATGTTGAACAGATAAACTAATTGTTAATCATTTGAATTTTATACACCCATCTGATGATAGGAAAAGGAAGATTTCCAAAATGGTGTGTGTGAAATTTTTTTTTTAAGAATAATGTATTATGAGATAAATGTTGTTCCTTTTACCTACAAAGAAAACTAAATATATGATGCATTACAATATAAATTAAAGCAGTTATTAAATTAACTTTAGTAGTAGGTAAACAAAACTTGGATTTGTAGGCTAGAGTATACTGAATCCTCTGTATTTTGTTTTAAAATCCTAGAACCCTTCGCTGAATAATTTAGAAAACCATCAGTTACTACAAATGTAAAAAATGACGCATGACGTAACATATCAGAAATGGTCACTTTGTAATTGTAAATTGGAGACAAAATAAAAGATTAAAAATTAGTATTAGAATAACCAAATCATTAAGGATTTCCTACATTACAGTATGATTGTTTTCTGAAATCATGAGATGACCAATGTTTTGCTTCTGGACCCCTTAAAATGGATTAACACTTCCTGATCGTTGAAATAGAATGGGATTTTACTTCATCTTGTATGAAGAGTTTTTCTAACTCTCCATAATGTTTTACAGTGATTCTTGAGTTTGATGGCTTTTAACCAGTGACCTTCTTCTTTGAAACTTTGCAGGAAGGCACAAACTCTGAAGACTGTGATGGCATTAGTGGCTCAGGTGAGCCTGGTGCAGATTCAGTGACTGTGGACGATGAAGGGGAGGAAGATGATGGTAGTGAGTGGCCACATCGTGGTGCTCCATGGGACTCTCCAGAAGGCTCCTCGTCTACTACCACTGACAACTTGTTGAGACCGTCCTCTGCCCTGCGCACCAGCGGGGGCCAGCCACAGAGGCTGCTTAAGGTGGAGTCATTTGAGGGCCGTGATACGCTCAAAGCCAATAGCCTGCGTCTGCAAGTGTCCAAATCCTACAGCTTCGGCGGGTATCCTGGTGCAGGGACACAAGCTGCTGCCACAGATGCGGGAATGGGAGCTGGGCCACGCATGTTGCTCACCAAGCAAGGTTGGTTGGTACACATGTATGATGGTACATTGTGTCTGGTGCTATAATGCATGCACTCCCAGGACTAATTTATCTCTTCTGTCAAACTCTTGTGGCTTCCAATGTAACCCAAAATTTCCCATCCTGACATTTCCATTTTTCACCATAGGTGTCTTGCTTCTTCAGTTACCTTAAAGGTGATAAGCATTGGCAATGATGTCATTACTTCAATGGATACTATAAATACTATGGTCTAATGGAAAACCAGTGGCACTATTTATTACTTCTTGATGAAAAGGTTGTTTCTGTTCTTCAGGCATGTGTGATTTTTGAAGTCATTTAAATTTAAAACATGGATAATGGAATTTTGCATGTACTTCTGGCAATGAGGTATGCTTGTACATTTCTGTATTATATTCAAATCTTTAATGTTGAAAGACAATTGCAATTTCTTTGTTTGGAAAAGGATACATGGAAATGTGCAGTTTCTGGATGCATTACTTATAAATTTAATCTTGCTACATTTTTTAATCCAACAGAGGGTACAAGTAGACTGTCTGATAATATTTGCATACTATGGAAACTAATTTTTCAATGTTCATAAGTTGTAGATTGTTGCTTTTATAAATGTAAGAGGGTCTTCCATAAGGCTAATTGGGACTTGTCATGGACTTAATTATTGGAATAGTGATGTATGTCCTATAATTAGCCTAAAAGTATTTGCTTCCTTACGAATTTTATTTAAAACTCAGTAACACCAATAAAAATATTGTTATGAATTTGAACAATATGCACATAAGGTTCTCCATGCATTAAGTGTTAAATAAGATTAGGTATATACCTGTAGTTACCCAAGTTTTGGTCCAAAGGTGAAAGAATTCCTAAAAAAACTTTTCATCCTGAATTCAAATATGATGTTGATATTTATCTCCATCCCTTTTGTTGTTTGTTTCTAGAATTTGAAGTAAATCAATTTCTAACCTCCTTTTGTTTAGAAATGTATTTCATATTTTCTACTGTCCTTATCCACAATGAACCAATATCACAAGTCAGAACCAGGCACCCTTAGTATCTGCCTCTCTCCCCCCCCCCCCCCCGAAACCCAACTGCAGAAGATTTCACACACAAGGATAAATTGACAAATTTGACCATTTTCAGAATTGTTGTTTTTGACTAACAAGTAGCAGAATAAAGCATAAATTGAAGTAGCAAAATTTATTTTCTGCTACCAGATCACAGTTCATCATAAAAACTTGCATGTTCTTGTCTTTGTGCAGAGATTGCAGGAAACAAATGATTATGAACACAAGACAACAACTGGAATTAAAACTTAGCAGAAGTATAACCCTGGTTTTGAACCAAACATTAACCACCCCTGGGTGTTTTAATCAATCTTAATTATGTGCTTCATTATTTTCAAGATTGATTTTCTCACAAAAGGAAAATGAATATGTTGGGATCTAAGCAAGAATGTATTTCATTTATTTAGGAATTAGTACTGTAACCACAAGGAAGTTATAACTTTTTTATCTTTAAGATTTTTTCCTGTTTCTGTAATAATAATTGTTTTGTGATGGATGTTTGGAAATGACAAAAATTGATTGTTAATTCATTCATTGAACAACAATAAATTTCAGTCATACTTCTTAGCTTCAATTCAAGCTTTAGAATAGCTTCAAATTTTGCCTCAGAAAATTTAGTATCATCCAGTGTGTTGAGATAGACACATTTTCCTACAGCATTACTTCCTTTCTGTGAAGTACATTTGAGAAAGTACTAATTTCATCAAGAACACACCTATGTGTGTGATCCAGGTCCAGTGAACATGTCACACGATGTGTTATTTTACCCCCAATGGGTAATTGTGTTAGCACTGCTCAAAATCTTTATGGAAATGAACATAAATAGAGTTGCATTTCTATATTTGAGAGAGACCATTCTTTGTTTTAGAGATGATGAAATTCATCCAAGAAATCACAAAAATTCCAAAACCAAGTAGCAACTTTGAAAAGCTATAATATAAAAGTTGAAAAAACTTACATAAGATATTGTGTAAAATGTATTGTAAATCCTAAATCTTGAAACTACTGACACCTTCCAGTATGTGGTGATAGGATGTAATTTTTCTGAAAATGCGTTTTTTGAACTCCCGCTGATTACTTACATGCCCGATAGAGAGATGTCTCAAGAAAGATTTAAAGGGTATCAGAATTCCTAAAGAATTAGGTAAGTTGAACACAGTTGTAATTATACAATTCTTTCTAACTTTATTGTTGCAATGAAATCTATAATATGGAGAGAAACAATTTACATATATGAATTCAGTGTGAAAACTCCTAATAGAAGTGCTTCCTTTTTCTTTTCTTTTTTTTTCTCCTCCCTTCAAAAATAAATAATTTGATGCCTGTTATTTCCTTCTTATATATTCAATGTAATGTTAGGATAATTGGAACAGACATTTCCTGCATTCTATCCGAAACAAATGTTTCATAACAAATTTAACTACAACAACTTGTGGCACAAATAGAAAATTAAATACATTTTTGAATTCTCAATAATTTAATAACTTCAGTCTTTCAAAAATAGGATGGTTAATCATATTGTACTAGTGGAATGTGACCTCATGAAAATGTGCTATTCATTTTCACCTTATTCAAAATCCCAAACAGAGGAAGTTGTTGATCTTATGATGTTGATAACATTTTTCACTTACAGGAACTTGAAAAATCAGTAGTCTTATTTTGCTGTAGGGACTGAATCTGCTTGATGATGCGTTGTGATAATATGTTGCTTTGACTGGTAACCTATGGATGTATTTGCATATGTACGATACATTCTTTTGGATAATCCGAACAGACCACGCCCCCAATTAGTTTGGATTCTACTGAACTGGTATGTCTGTATCGACAGTGTTCCGCATTTTACGGAATGACTTGAAGATGCGCAAGGTTTATGCAAAGTGGGTGCAAAATGGTTCAACTGATATGCAAAAATGGACTCTATAGGAGACATATTGTATCGATCTGGAGCGATTCCAACATGAAAGAAATGTTGAATTGGATTATTGCAATTGACGAAACGTAGGCACGAGCGTACGAATCAGAACTAAAGAGGCAATCAAATGAATATCGTCTTAGCTCACCACGAAGACACAAGTTTTGGATAGAATTCATCACCGACGAAGGTTATGCTTGTTTTGGCTTATGACAGCCAAGGCCTCTCCTCTCCTTATCGTCCTGTTCCTGAGTGCCAAACCGTCACTGCCACGAACTACAGATCATTTCTGCTGCACAATGCGAATCAAGGCACCCAGAAGCCTGTATCCAGAACCTTGTGTGGCGGTGGCGGTGGGAGATCTTGGAACACCCTCCGTACTCCCGTGATCGCAGTCCGTGCGACTTTGGTCTCCTTCCCAAAATGAAGACGCCGCTGCGTGGGAAGCGGTTTGCAATCGGGGAGCACATCCTAAGAGCGCATCGACGAGAGGTGGCGCGCATAGACGCATCGCAGTTCTTCACGGCGCCTTCTTCATCGTTAGCAAAGATGTGTGGGCGCCTTGAGGTTAGCTCCTAAGAGTACGAGTATTATGCGGACTCATCCTATATATTAGGATGTCCCGAGAATTTTTCGCGAAATCAGATACTCATACCCTCTTATATTTTTACTTTCCCGAATACGTATATACGAAGTAATAGACGTAGTATAGGAAAAGTTATGTAATGCTGCGGAAAATTTAGAGATTTCGACGGAAATACACATTTTGGAGTCCCCTGATACCAAAAAGGTGTTTGTTGGTTTGATTTTCCTTCCAAAACTCCCGTCTGTCCGTCCGTTTGGTGTCTGTGAGCACTACAAGTACCTAAAACACGCGTAGAATTTTTTCCAATTTGAAGAAACTTGTGTCGATCTGGCTCGAGTCGAATGTTTGAGATTTTGAAAAAAATCTTTAACATTTGGTGGTACTTTACAGAAAGCTCCTTGGATATTTTCAAAATTTTCTCAAAAACGACTCCGATTTTTTTTGTAATTTCTTGTAAGAATAGAGTAACATATACTTACTTATAAAGGTGGCATAGGTCCGATTTTCAACTCTGAATTTTCGAAACTTAAAAGAGTATTAATTTTGTTAGGTGTCGCCATATAACTACAAAATTGAAGATATAGATTTTTCCTTCAAATAAAATTTGCTCTCCATGGTAAGTTCTTTCATTAAGGTCATGTACATTTTTGTAAAAAGAAATGGTAGTTTTCGCGCAGTATCGCGTTAATTCTAATAAATTACAAAAACTAGATTTTTTCAAAAACTGCTTCAATTTTTTTTCTTTAAACTTTTGGTAGGGATAGTGCTTAATGTACTTTACGCCATATTGCTCTATTCTTTTGTTGTTGTTTTTTAATTACAAAATTTTCATTTTTTATTGCATCTAATGTTAATATTTATAGTATCGGCAATTTGTTCACATTATTGTATTCATGAGTACATGCGCTTTAAATAATGTCATGTAAAGGTTCTCGAAAACGTTACCGGTCTGTGTGAAAAGTAGCTCATAACTCCGGATTTTCAGAATCGCTCAAATGCCATTTTATCAAAAATGGCTCCAAATAATTTTTTCAAACATTTCGAATGGATAGTGGTAACTGCACTCTTTAATATGACGTAAAGTTTATGTGTGTTTTTGTTGTTGTTTTTTCTAAAATTACACAAATGTACATTTTTTCAAAGATCTCTCTCGCCGTTGATATGTATATTTTCAGCAATTTGTAAACACTGTTGTATTTGTGTGTTAATGTACTTCAAATGACTTCAAATTTCGAATATTCAGTAGCGGTTAAACGCCAGTTTTTTTAAAAATCTCTCGAAAGTTTTTCAATGAACATTTTCATTTAGGACGAGGTTTTACTGTTCTTTAATAATCGTAAAATATTTCCGCTGTACAATTAACAAACCAAAAATTAGGGAAATGTCAAACAAATGCAATTTGGCGGCGATAAATGTCAGCAAGCAAGAATGTGTCGAATAG